GACGTCAGTGATCACGATAGACAATGTTAATGATTCCTTATCACAGCTATATGCCATACTCAATAAAGCGATAAATACATTTGCTCCATTTTTACCTGTTAAACCAAAAAACAAAAGCTGGGTCAACACACATATTAAAAAACTATCCAATAAAAAAAACAAGCTCTTCATTAAAAGCCTCCGTAATCCTACTCCAAACAATATTTCTGAGTACAAAAAATTCCGCAACATGTTTACAACCATAAAAAGAAAAACAGAACGAGAATATTACACAAATAAACTCAGTAATTCTCCCAACGACATCAAGGCCAAATGGAATTTGACAAGATGTGCACTAAACAAAAAACCGCCCAACTCATCCATATCCAAACTCATTGTAAGCAACAAAACAGTTGACAACAAACAGGAGATTTGCGACTGTCTGAACGAACACTTTGCAAACGTTTCAATCAAACATTCTTTCAACCTCCTACCGGGTAAGGCTGACCCCATGAAACTCTTGGGTCCTACTATAACTCAATCCATATCTCTTAACCCTGTATCTGAACGCGAATTACTATCTATTGTCCGTAAAATGAAAAACAAAAACAGTTACTCCGATGATGGCCTTAACATGTACCTAATAAAAAGCATAATCCATTCCATAACTTTACCTTTAATCCACATCTTCAATTTATCATTATCAACGGGAATTTTTCCAGATACCTTCAAAATATCCAGAATTATTCCTATCCACAAAAAAGGATCCCTGGATGATATAAATAACTACTGACCCATATCTCTGTTGTCTCCTTTATCCAAAATTCTGGAAAATATAATGTACATCAGATTAAATTCTTTCTTCAATCTTAACAGCATTATATGTAACAGCCAATATGGCTTCCGGGCCAAGCATTCAACCAACATGTCCTAAACGGTATGAATAGCAAAAAACTATCTGTTAGCCTATTTCTGGATCTTTCAAAAGCATTTGATGTAATTGACCACAGCGTACTCCTAAAAAAACTTGAGTGGTATGGTGTGAGGGGAATCGCTTTCAATTGGTTGGAGAGCTATCTCTCCTTGCGTTCTCAATATGTTTATATCGATAACTTCAAATCAAATAAAACTCATGTCCAGAATGGAATTCCTCAAGGATCTATACTGGGTCCTTTTTTATTTCTAGTCTACATCAATGACCTCTGTAACGTCTCATCATTAGCCAAATGTTGCCGACGACAAGAACATTTTGTTTACACCAGACGACATCAACAGCTGCCGAGACATCGTCAACCAAGAACTATCAGGATTTTCCAACTGGTTTCTGGCAAATAAACTACTACTAAATCATTCCAAATGTTCTTATATAATTTTTGGTCCCAAAATATTAACTAACCAAGTCCAAGATCTAAACTTGCTGCTTAACAACAATCCAATTAATCGTACTCGTTCAACTAAATTCCTAGGTATCAATATAACAGATAACCTCTCATGGGACTACCACCTGCAATCAACTTCCCAAAAGGTCAATAAACTAATTGGAATTTTCTACAAAATAAAATACAAACTTTCTCAGTCTGCTCTACTAAACCTTTACTACGCTTTTATTTATCCCCATCTTACCTACTGCATAACTGTATGGGGAAACAGTCCTAAAAGTCA